TATTTTTAACAAGGGAAGAGTTAACCAAGAAGACATTACTGTCCTAAACACATACACACCAAATTCTGGTGCACTCAATTGCATAAAAAATCTACTATTGAATTTAAAGACAGATTAACATTAATCCTTTCTACCACAATACTTCTAGAATTGGTAAACAAATACAGCAATGTGGCAGGCTATAGAATCAGTTTGCACAAGTCAATAGTATATTTCTATACACCACCAACAAGCATACAGACAAGATCATGGACACACTCCATTCACAAAAGCATCAAACAAAATAAAATATCTAGGAATAACCCTAACCAGGGAAGTGATGAACCTCTACAGTGAAAACTTAAACCTCTAAAAAAAAAGAGGTAGAGAAAGACACTATAAATGTAAAGACACCCCATTCTCATACATGGTAGAAGAAATATTGTGAAAATGACCACCTTCCCAAGAGTTACATACAAATTCAGTGAATCTCAAATAACCAAAACACTAATCTCATTCTTCACAGAAATAGAAAAAGCCACCTAAAACTCATACAAAAATCACAATCCTGAGCAAAACTAGACAAAACAAAAAATCAAAAAAAAAAAAAAAACAAACCCCAAAACAAAAACAAAACCCAATGCTGGGGGGATTGCGATTCCAGATCTTAAGATATATTACAGAGCCATAGCAATAAAAGCAATATCGTACTGGCACAGGTATGTAGATCAATGGAAGATCCAAACATGAGTTCATGAAATTTCAGCTATTTAATGCCAGAAACATAAGCTGAAGAAAGCATCTTCGACAAATGGTGCTGAGAAAACTAGATGTCTACACACAGAATGAAATACAGCAGCACACAAAGAAATCCAACTGGATCAAAGACCTAAAAGCAAAACACACTGAAACTGTTAGAAGAAAATAGGCAATACCTTTTATGTTATAGATATAGAAAAGGACTTCCTGAGTGGGACTCCATTTACCCAAGGATTAAGGCCAAAAACGGGCAGATAGAACATCATTAAACTATTATCCCAGTAGTCAGAATGGCAGAGATCAACAAAACAACCAATGGCAAATGCTGATGGGGATATGGGGGAAGGGAACTCTCATCCACCATCGGTCGGGTGGCAAAGGTGTGCAGCCACTATGGAAATCAGTATGGAAAACTCTCAAAAATAATCTAAAATAAAGCTACCATATGACCCAGCTACACCCCTCCTTGGCAAATGTCCAAGGAACTCTCCATCCTACTCCACTGGTACTTGCTCAGCCATGTTCTGCTGCTCTATTTACATTAGCAAGAAGATGGGTACAACCTAAATGCCCTCGACCAACGAGTGCATAATGAAAATGTGGTACACTACGAAACACTAGTTGGCTGTTAAAAAAAGTGAAATCATTAAGTTTGCAGGTTAAATGGACGGAAAGACCATGCTGAAGAAGGTAACTGGGGCCCAGAAAGACAAATGGTGCATGTTCTCACTTACTGGAGGCTCCTAGTTCTAAATCCTCAGAGAGCAGTGTAATACTCATCCTCAGTGAAACCCCTCTTTGCAACAGATGGAGCCCATTGTGGAAAACTACAACTGAAATGCAGAGCTGTGGGATACAGTCCCAGTGGACACTGTTCACTGAGAGAAAAGGGAGTGGAAAGATCCTAACAGTCTGATGATCGGGGAGTTTGCTCTGAGACTGTGTCTCCTAGTCATGTCAGAAGCTACACCCTGAAAGTCTCATCAGTATGAGCTGAACAAGGGCAACAGGCATGCCAAGGTGAACAGGCGAAAGACCACACGGCCTCAACCCTACACAAAGAACTATAGGCAGCTAAGAAATGTTGAGAGTGCGAGAAACAGTCTTTCCCAGGAAAGAGCACTCCAACTGGTTATCCAGTACCAAACATGCACAGATGAGTTAACATTATACAGGCCGAGTGGGTTATAATTAGTAATATACATGTATACACACACACACACATCTTCATGTAACAACAATTAATGAGAAAAAGAGACCATGAATTTGAAAAAGAGCAAGGAAGAGTAAATGGATTTGGAGGGAGGAACAGGAAGGGGGAAACGAGATGATATTATAATCTTTAAAAAAAAAAGACAAGAAAGATACATTGTAGAGAAGTGCCAAAGAATAAACACAGTATTAGAAAGAGACCAGACACCACTCCAGGCCTCCAGAAGTCCAGATTGGTGCCTAGCTCAATCATCATCAGAGGGGCTTCCTCTGGCAGTTGAAGGGAGCAGATGCAAAGCTACATAGCAAAACATTGGAGCTCTCCATCAGGTCCCTCTCCTTGTAGCTTGGGGAACTCCATGGAAGAGGAGGAATTGATGGAACCAGTGGGGTGGCGAGCACCAGGAGAACCGGCCCACACACATCAACTAAGTAGGGCTTAAAGGGGCAGGGCTCACAGAGACAGAAGTGGCAGTCACAGAGCCTGCGTGGGTTTGAGTTAGGTCCTCTGTATGTATGTTATGATTGTTGGCTTTGTGGTTTTGTGGAACTCTTAACAGTGGGAGTGGGGTTGTCTCTCTTTTGCCTGCTCTTGGGACCCCTTTCCTCCTACTGGGTTGCCTTGCTCTGTTCTAAGGGTTTGTACACAGTTTTAATGTTTCTGGTTATGCCACATTCAGTGGGTCTCCCTGGGAGGAGTGGACCTGGGGGAGGTGGAGGGACTGGGAGGGGTTGAGGGAGGGAAAACTGCAGCTGGAATGTATTGAAATTTATTGAAAACAATAAATAAATAAAAGAAAAATAATTTTAAAAGTTAACTTTAAAAATATAACCAAGAGTTTGGGGCTGGTCAGATGGCCCAGGCATTAAAAGCACTTGCTGCTCTTGCAATGGACTAGAATTTGATTGCCAGGACCCATACTGTGCAACTCATGACTGCATGTAACTCCAGCTTGAGGGGATCTGATGCACTCTTTGGACTACTGTGGGTACCTGCATGCAAGTGCACATATACACAGACACACAGACACACAGACACACAGACACACACACACACATAAATCAAAAGAAATCTAAAAACATAACTAGAGTTGATATATTAGGATCACTGAAGAAGGTAGTATATTCTTTTCCATATGCACTCTTCCTTTTTTTTTTTTTTTTTTGTCTTTTGAGATGGAGCATTTCAGTACATAGTCTAGTCTAGCCTTAAATCTATTAGCCTTCTTCCTTAGTGTCCCGAGTTCTCGGTTACTGTCTGGTACCACTATATCCAGCTAAACATGTCTTTTGGTTTTTGTTTTGTGAATCAAAATTCATAAAACAGAAAGTCAGATGTAAATGAATAAAGGTATCCCAATCTGAATCCTATATATCTTCAGAGGTAAAATGTGGGATTAGTAAATATATGTTTACAAAACACATTATCAAATGTTTGTCTACCAAATAAGAAATATGCATTGTTTGTAACTCAATAGCTTCTGGGATAAAAACAAAACAGCCTATTTTAAATCCTTAGAACATGTAATCGCTCTCAAATCTAGTATGAACAGGTTCCTGAATGCCACCCCTAAAGCTCTGCTTCAGGAGTCTGGGTTGGTTATGAGAATGTCCCCTATTCTAACGAGGTCCCCAGCTGATCCTGCTGGTCTGCGACACCATGAAAACCAGTGCTTCACAGCTATTATTAAGTGTCTGACAATGGATGCATTTTATACAACCATCAACTAGTTACAGGCTCTCAGAAAATCAATATGATGACCTGCCCTTTGTGTAAGGTGGGAGGACAAGCAGAGCCCCAAGGCTTTAGGAAACTCAACAGAGGGCAGGAGACTGGGCACCTGCTCTCTGCATTCTAGCGCCCGTGTGTTCATTGTCCCACAGCCATGTGCCTTACCACTTGCGGTGATGCATCCTGACTGTGCTTGTCTGAGAAAAAGGATGTCCCTGAAGATGTGGTTAGTTCTGTCAGCGTCTTAACTAAAGGACAGGGACTCACTGAAAATCAGTCAGGGGCATCAGAACTCAGTTAACCCAAAACTTCTAAAATTATTACCATGTAATTAACAAAACAGAGAATGTTTTAAATACAATACTGAATAATACTTAGTAAGTGTTTATTATTCCTTACAGCAAACATACAATTAGATTTTTTTTTTTGACAGTCTCCCTACACAGCCCTGGTTGCCCTGGTACTCATACTCACTATACAGACCGGGCTAGCCTCAATTCAGATGTCTGCCTGCCTGTCTCCCAAGTGCTGTGTTGATGTGGGAGTGTCATATATCAATCTGTTGATTTCATTGGTTAAGCAATAAAGGAACTCCTTGGCCCTGATAGGTTAAAAGCTAGATGGGAGGAGGAAACAGAATAGAATTCTGGGCGGAAGAGGAAGTGAGGTCAGACTCTGCCCTGCTCCCGGGGAGACCTGACAACTCTGCTCTCTGGAGCAGAGACACCATGATGGACGGAGGCTAGAATCTTCCCGGTAAGCGCACCTTAGGGTGCTTACACAGATTAGAAATGGGCTAGTCCAGGTGTGAGAATTAGTCTGTAAGGGCTAGAGTTCATGGGCCAAGCAGTTCTTAAATGAATACAGTTTGTGTGTTGTTATTTCGGGCATGAGCTAGCCAAGCGGCCGGGGTGTTGGGGACGCAGCCCCGCCGCTCATATTTCAACACTGTGTGCCACAACACCTGGCTCATTTAGGTTTAAAGCATCATAAATCTTGTAAATGTCGGCCAGTGTACTACACATAATCACCCACAACTTACTCACTTGATGGTCTGAAAACTAGTCTCTCACCTTTCAAAACGGCAACAGAGAGCAGTGATATATGTAACAGCAAAAGAAGCAGTTTATGTTTTAAGAAAAGTGGTCCATGAACAGAGGAAACATATTAGCGAAACTAAGCTGCCAGGTACATAAGTTCCTGCCAGTTCAATTCATCAAAAAGGACAAGGAGACACAAAATTATTGGCTTATGGATGTGATGACTCAAGTTCAGAATGCAAAAAAAAAAAAACCAAAACAAAACACTCAATTACACATCACTGTCAAACAAATACTTTATATAAGAAAATTTCCCTTTAAATATTTATATACATGTTACCATGTAATACTGTTAACCAAACCCATGGTTTATTAGTTTAAATAAGATTAAATAAGTGGCCCCAAGTGTTGATTCACAATGCCTAGATATTGCAAATCAAACTTCAGCCTGGTATAATGAAGACACGGGTTCCTCAGACAACAGTAAGAAGGAGCGATTTTCAGGATGAGTTTCCCTCTCTAGGTCAGGGAGAGCTTTAAGTGGCAAGCGCTGTGTGGTTGTGCAGAAGCGCCAGTTTTGAAAACAAACACATTCAGAAGATCTGCTGCTCAAATAATATTTTTTCAAAACCTGGTGGAGGAGTATGATAAAATTCACTGAACTGGCAATCCAGAATTGCACTGTCATCAACTAGAAGAGAGAAAAAGAAAGAAACTAAGTTAGAAGCACATTCAAATGCACACAAAGTTATACAATACACTGTTTTCAGGCAGGGATGTAACCCAGTGATAAAGCACCTGCTTAGCAACATTTCTGAGTTCCAGCACCACAAAACAATTTAATTATAAACTATTTTCTAATGTTATATTTTAATTTTTAAAATATTTTTATGTGCATGGCTTACATGTATGTCTGTGTACCACTGTGTATGCCTGGTGCCCGAGGAAGCCAGAAGGCGGCACTGGATCCCCTGGAACTGGAGTTACAGATGGCTGTGAGTTTCCATTTAGATGCTGGGAACTGAACCCAGGTTCTAGCAAGAGCAGCTAGTGTTCTTAATCCCTGAGCCATCTATGCAATTCATTTTGTTTGTTTGTTTGTTTGTTTTTTGGTTTTTCAAGACAGGGTTTCTCTGTAGCTTTGGTGCCCATCCTGGAACTAGCTCTTGTAGACCAGGCTGGCCTCGAACTCCCAGAGATCCACCTGCCTCTGCCTCCCGAGTGCTGAGATTAAAGGTGTGCATCACCACCGCCCGGCTATACAATTAATATCATATCAATTGTCAATAAGTGTAAATACACCTGCCATCTGGGCTATACAGTCTTTAAAAATAGTTATTTTTTATTGTGTGTGTGTGTGTGTATTTATGTGTGCATGACATGGTATTCTCTCACAAGTCAGAGGACAGCTTGCAGGAGTCAAGTTTGTCCTTGCAGCATATGGGTCCTGAGGATCTAACTTAACTGTCAGGGTTGGCAACAAATGTTTTCATTTGCTGAGCCATCTAGCTGGCCTTGAATTGCAAAATCTTTAGGTAAGAATATCCAAAACAAAATCTGACAAAACATACAAAGGAGGTTATCAAAACATTATTAATAATGATCCTAGCCACATATGGCGGTATATGTCTGCAGTCTCAACTATGTGAAAAGCTGAGGCAGGAAGATCTCCTGAGAGGACATCTGAGGCAATGTGGTAAGACTCCATCTTTCTCACTAATTCTTACTCTCTCCCTTTTTGTTTGTTTTTTGTTTTGTTTTTATTTTTTGAGACATGGTTTCTCTGTGAACCAGTCCTGGCTATCCTGCTGTTCTGGAACTCTGTAGACCAGGCCAGCCTCAAACTCACAAAGATCTCCCTGCCTCTGGCTCTCAAGTGCTGGAATTAAAGGCAGCATCTGGCTGACATATCATCTTAAATACAAACAGTAATAATGATCTCTCAAAGTTATAAATATCAATAATCTCAAGTCTTTATTTGTCTGTTTTTCTCCATTTTATATGATGATGTACTACTTTATTTAAAATTTTTTACTTTATTTTATTATAATTATTTTCTTGTGGTTCAGTTGACAAAGTTCTTGCATACAAACTCCTGGATCTGGGTCCATGAGTGGTGGTACACATACCTATAATCTCAGCACTGAGGAGGTGGAGGAAGGAAGATCATATGTTCAAAGTCACCCTCAGCTACACAGTGAGTTTGAGAACACCCTGGGCTACAAAGTGAGTTAGTGCTGGGGACGCAGCCCTGCTGCTCATATTACTACAAAATGGCGCCCAGACGTGTGGACAACTGAATCCACTAAAAGCCTGAAAAAGCTTGGGAAAGAGTAAAGCATGTTTTCTTGGTAGCAGCAGTTTCTCGGGTCTACTCCGCTTGCTAGAGGCAAGCAAGCACTCTCATCTAAGAGAGGCTTCCTGACTCAGCTTTAGCTGCAAAACCCTGCAGCTCATTAAGAGGTCCTGCCACGAAACACTTAAACGGTGTTGACAAAAAGCTGAACGCATGCTTTTCGGTTTTCAGCCGTAGCAAGAAAAAAGCTGAGCTGTTTAAAAATGCCGGCTTTCTGGGCTGTCCTGCCAGGGCAAACTCTGACTCTTTTACACAGGCAGTTCGTGCGATTTGCAAGCACAGGCTGCAGAAGCTCGCTTGCTGGCAGGGACCTTGAAATGCCATAGAGTTGTGGCAGTAAACATGGCTACAGCCAGTACCTCAGCAATGAGGCTGGAAAGCTAAGGAATGGACTGGGTCTAGCTGGCAAAGCCACAGCTTTAATCCTACCCATATTGCTCAGTAATTTAAAGACTCATGTGGTCGGAAAAACAGAGAGAGATACAGTAAAGAGAGCGTCAAAGACAAAGAAAATTTTTAAATGATTTACAGTGTGTTAAAAATATATGCAAGCTAAAAGTTAAAAGTTCTTAAAAGTAAAAAAAAAAAAGAAAGAAAGAGGGTAGTTGGGTGTGGTAGTACACACCTTTAATCCCAACTCTTGGGAGGCACAGGGAGATTGACCTCTGTGACTTCAAGTTGTGGTAGCACACGCCTTTAATCCCAGTGCCTGGGAGGCAGAGACAGGCGGATCTCTGAGAGTTCAAGGACAGCCTGGTCTACAGAGTTATTCCAGGACAAAGATACAGAGAATATAAAATAAATGTAAAAATAAACGAGATAGAGGTTAAAATAAAGTGTACAAAGATGGAAAATACACAGAGAATCTTGATACTGTATGCTATTATACTCTCTTTGAATTGTTTGAATGCTGAGGAAGGACCAACAGCTGCCAAAAGATATTTGTTTATAAATGCTGCTGAACTAATCCAACATAGATATTTTGAAAATGCTTTGAAATTTGGATCTAAGGACATGATGCTTTGGAAAGGAGTTTCTTGTTTTGTTTTCACAGAGGATGAGACCCTGTTCATTTCTTCTATTCCGATTGGTATGATGGACCACACCCTCCTGAAGGGTTGCTGTAAACATCTTAAGAAAATTGCTTCGCTCAACTGCCAACTGAGATGAAACTAGCACACAGGTTATACCATGAAAGACCTAATTAACGACACCCCCATTCAGCAGGAAGCAGTTTGGAGAGAAATAACTGCGCCCATGTTCCCAAATATGGTTTATAAACGTTCTTTTCATTTAAAGGGGGATATGACATAGATATGAATAATTTGCATTGGTATGGATTTTAAGGTCAATTTTGTTATATGTATATGTATTTCTGATATTGATTNTAATAACTTAGGGTTTTTCATGACAATGAGACACTCTGCTCCTGGCAGCACCAATCTACTTCAAGAAGAAGATGGGCATTGAAGAGGATCCTTATGGAGTTTGATAGCCATTTGGGCAAGAAACTGCTCTTGCCTGGACTATTGCATAAACTGGACACAGAGAACCCACAGAGAGAGGACTGCTGAACTTGTCTAAAAGTGAGATGACCTTTTGGGGTTCCTGATTCATGAAAGAGTCTGCAAGACATTCTTCAGGACAAGCAGATAGTGACTGCCTTTGAAATTTCCTGCTTTGTGAAAATGTCTCTGGATACCATGGGCCTGTAGGCCGAAGATGGATGCCCCACAGTACAGAGGAACTTTGGGTGACTGTCCAGGCACCGAGATGTCTCTGTCATTTCTAGAGTTTGAAAGTTGCTTTTTTCTTGTTTGCTTAGGTAATATAGTATCTTTCTGGAGTCTTTGATGGAGTTAAGAATAGTTATAGTTTTCCTTAGTTATGATAAAGATTATTGTAATTTTTACTTGATAACTGTTTTGTTATATGTAATTTTGCTATGTTAAAGTTAAAACCTTCCTTTTTTGTTTAAACAGAAAAAGGGGAAATGATGGAGGAAGGTCATTGGTTAATTAAATAAAGAAACTGCTTGCCCTGATAGGTTAAAACATAGATGGGTGAAGTAAACAGAACGGAATGCTGGGAGGAAGAGGAAGTGAGCTCAGACTAGACAGCTCTGCTCTCTGGAGCAGAGGCCATGCTTCGCTCTCCCAGACACACATGATGAAGCTCCAACCCAGGATGGACGTAGGCTAGAATCTTCCCGGTAAACGCACCTTGGGGTGCTTACACACCTTATTAGAAATGGGCTAGTCCAGGTACGAGAATTAGCCTAGAAGAGGCTAGATAGAAATGGGCCAAGCAGTGCATAAAAGAATACAGTGTCCATGTAATTATTTCGGGGCATAAGCTAGCCAGGCGGCTGGGGTGCTGGGGCTCATATTACTACAAGTTAGGACAGCGAGGGCTACAGAGAAACCCTGCCTCAATAAATAAATAAGAGTAGAGAATGAAAGCAGACTATTCTAGGATTAAGGATGAGAAAAGATGCAGGACAAAGGGGAAATTAGTTCTATTTTTACCTTAAGTAGCATCAGACTATTTTTTTTTTTTTTGTTTTTTTTTCGAGACAGGGTTTCTCTGTGGTTTTGGAGCCTGTCCTGAAACTAGCTCTTGTAGACCAGGCTGGTTCTCGAACTCACAGAGATCCGCCTGCCTCTAGCATCAGACTATTAAATTATCTAGTTTAACTGGACTTATTCCTCAACCTAAACCATAAAATATTTTTTACATAAAATAATTTGCTTCATGAGCACTTTATATTTTGATTTATTTTATTATTTTAAATTGTGTGTGTGTGTGTGTGTGTACAATGCCCATGCCTGTGGAGTCCAGAAGATAACACCAGACCCTGTGACACTGCAGTTACAGGCAGTTGTGAGCCACTCAATATAGGTGCTGGAAACATAGTCTGTGTCCTCTACAAGAACGGCAAGCACTCTTAACAGCTGAGTCAATTCTCCAGCTTTGGATAATTTTATTTCATACACTCACCTATATTAATTACCTATTCATTTTTTAATTTCTCAGGCTAACTTGTTTAAAATATTAAGCTACATTTAAATTTATTTAAATCAATAAAGAATTTCTTTTAAGCTTACTCAATAATGAAAGAACACCAACCTACACTAAATTTAAAAACACAATTTTTGTTTTGTTTCACTGAGACAGGGTCTTTCTCTATGTAGTCCTGGTTGTTCTGAAACTCATTATGTAGATAAGGCTGGCCTTGAGCTCAGAGAGGTCTTCCAGACTCTACCTCTCACGCGCCAGGATTAAAGCTTGGGCCACCATGCCCAGTGGCACCTTTCTGTACTCAGTGGAACGCC